TTTTGTTGCTGATGGGCGCTCACGGCGAGTCATCTACGTAGTATTTATTTGGTGCTGGTATCCCTATATGTTTCGTGACTTATTTTACTAATGTTCTTCTAGAGAATTTTATTGCAAACACGTTGGTGCCAAAATGAAATACGTAGCATGAGAACTAAGGTCAGGAGAGTAAAAAGAGTATACACATTTTTGTTTTTACGCTTAAGCGATAAAAACGCAGCGCGCACATTCGGTTGGCTGAGTGACCTTTGCGGAGAGCGCGAAAGTGTTAATTCCAAATTGTTTGTAAGTGATTGTTCTATCAAATGCCATAGTGAAATGAATTCATAATAAATGAATTGCTTGTGATTTTTTATATAGAGACTGATACAGTTGGCTTATGGAAATCCTGGCCATTACATCATATTTGCAGCCACCAATAACAGTCACATAGTTATGATTTTAATATGGAATTGTTTACCAATGATTGTTCTATCATGTGCCATGTTCAAAATGATAAATACATAATAAATAGATTTTCTCTGATTTTTGTTTTGTTTATAGTGGATGTAGAACCTCTGTTATTTTCCCATGAAAGGGAGGGACAGCCTGGGGGCCGATGGGTAGAAGGAATTCCGCGGAGAAACGAATCGGCCTCACCCGCCACATATTTCGTTCAAGTGTGGACACACTGTACTGTACTTACAGGGCACCTATGGAAGATGGCCCTAGATGCTTGCAGCCCCAGAACTCTGTGAATTACTCCTGGCTAGCACACCACCACACAGCAGAACACTGTAAAGGCACAGCACTGCACAGAGACAGAGGCCAGTGTCGAACGACTGCCACTCAACACATCAGCCTCAGAACTGAGGTTGGATGGCTGGCGTGGGGGTCTGGAGCTCCCCCTTTCCCCTCCTGGGGAGGGGGAGAGCTGCACAGACAGCGGCGCGGTGGCAGTTTTGACGTCATGCTTGTTTGCTTGTTTTCCGATTGGAAGTTCTGCTTGATAGTTTGGCTTTCGGTAGCAATTTTTAACCAGGTGGTGTTTGTTTTGCCTACCTTTCTGGGTGCCTAACCCGGTCGATGAGAGATATGAAATGCTTCCAACCACATGGGAGTTTCTATAAACCATTGCTCCTCGTGCCTCTCTGAGGGGGCCACGTTCTACCTCGTTGTCCCCGGTAGGCATAGAACTTCAATCGAATTGAATGATACCACGGTCTAATACATATATATCAGCAAGGTAAGCTTCAGGAAGCCAGAGGGTCTCTCTACAGAAAAATATGCATTGCTGATATTTCAATGAAGCCTATTATATAATGAAACATTGCATTTTGTACACAATTATCCCATATGGAGAAAATATGGGATACAGTACTGTACTACAGTACGAGATGTAACAGCTCACAAACATTCACATTTTTTAGGCAAAAGATGGTTAGATTAGATCAGTGTCTTGGTTCATGGATTCTAATACCCCCGTATTTTGTCAATTGAGGCAACTCAAGCTGGATATTTAGTGCAAATTTTACTTTGTTTACATTTTGGAAGAAAATAAAACATACATACTGCCATATGTTGCTTGGAGCAACACAAAGCAAGCATAATTCAATGTGGATAAATGCCATATAATGGATTGCAAAATAAGCGAAACCAGGCAACACGAAGCCACAATTCAACATACAAATACATAAAAAGATGCAGAAGAACTCAGACAAGGAAAGATATTTAGGGATGGTCCTGCTTTGTAAACCGACATCAAAGGCATAGTAAGAGAAGCATACACTACTCTGATCAATTTCAGAAATACAATGAAATACAGTACTGCACAATAAAAAACCTGCATTGGATTTCCCCATCCTCCGCAAGCCAATCCGAAGACAGCTCCAGGAGGGAAAAGAAACGCAAGACCAAACCCAGTAAGCCACGAACGTGCAAATCCTCAGCCACAAGCTCAGCCGACAGGGAGGGAGAGAACCTGCACGTGAAGTTGAAACCACGCCAACATCCCGCATAAGGGCAGGGGTGAACAAACATGCAATGAGATGCTCGAAGTTGCCCTCAGGTAAACCTGAACCACTGTCAATGCCTCGCGCCACTTAAGTGTGCGGGTATGACAAAGTACTCCAAGCATCCAATGACATCAACGGGCAGTCCACAAGCCAGGACAAATCCGAAACTTCATAACGAACCCAGTATGGAGAAGAAGACCCAAACCTGAAGGATAACGGATCCACTATAGAGGCATAATCCGGGTTGCGCAGGAGGTAAGCCACAATGCCCGCCTGCACCTCAGTAGGCAAAACGTGGGAAGCTGAAAACCTCTGGAAGGACGGAACCGAAGGATCCGAAGGGATGTGGAACTAAACCTGGGAAGGGGCTGAACCCAAATCCAACTTGTACATAGAAGGGGGAAGGAAAACACCACTCCTTGTAACAGAACTCCGCATTCAGAGGGTTGGAAAACCCAGGTGGGGTCCAGCGGGCCCAAGGCCCCAGGTCAGCCCCTCCCCAACCCTGGGAACCTCCACATCAGGCCCCAGGGACGAGTCATCCTCCAAAGCCCCGACCTTAAAAGAAAAAACTAGGGCAGATGGATGGAAAAGCAGGAAGGAAGAGGGCACATTGGTCAGACCCAATTGCCACAGATGGAGGAAGCGACTTGAATGCCTTTGTTGTCGCCACCCCAAAAGGGGCAAACCCCTGAAACTGACCAAGTCTCAGAATCCTCTAAACCTCACCCCCCAACCCTGAAGCCCTCAGACACTTCGGTGCCAGAAGCAAAAGGAGGGGGGTGGGGAAGACAGAATGAACCACAGCAGGGGAAGAATGAGGGAGTGCAGACTGAACCAAGGCCGAAGCGACCAACACCCCCCCACCAAGTCCGGGTCCCTATAAGCAAAGCAGGGCAGCCTCAGGGGCTTCTGGGGTAGCAACCAACCTAGCATGTTGCAACAACCTATACCTTGCATGCAAAGAATGAGCCGCCTGCACCCGAATAATGTCATTGGTGGAATGGATGAATTGAGTCACAAACAAGCAACAATGCTCGTATGACTCTGGGTCGAAGGTGTCACCGGCCCAACAGGCAGTATGACGGAGGCAGAAACAATGAACGTCACCCTGAGACAAGGGTGCAACCCTCAAATTCGCACAAGGCGAGAGAGGACCCAGGGGGTCGCATCTATTGGACCCCTTGCACCCCCCACGGGTTTCCCAAATCCCCTTAAGACTGTTATCGCTAAGGATAAGCCCAGGCGGGGTACTGCTAACCAGCGCCCAAGTCTACCAAACAAACTTCTAAAACGGAACCCCGGGAAGTGTCCACTTATGGGGGCCAAGCAGGGGGGTACCACCGAACACAGGAGGTCAAGACCCTAATATAACTGTGGTAGGGGAACAAGAGCAGACCCTCCCCCCTCACCAGGCAGAAACAAAAATGAAAAGGAAACACCCCAAAGGAGGACAATTTACCCATTAGGAACAGAGCTGGCTGCTGTAATAAGTGAAAACTAACTTCGCAGTACCTCACACCCCTACCAGTACAAAACTACCACTTACCCCAAGGTAAACAAGGGAGGGGAAACCACCCCCCCCAACACTCCCAGGGCAGTCAATCACCAAGCAGCAAAAAAAACAACAGTAGACCCCAAGGTGATTTGTGGAAGATAACTCCAAACCCCAAGGGCGGTACTTACAGGGCACTCAGGGAAGGGAACCCTAAGCACATGCAGCCTGAGTACCTGTGAATATTACTCCCAGCTCGCACACCACCGTAATAGTAGTACTGGCACAGCGCAACACATAGAGAATCAGGAGCTGGAGTCCCACGACGGAGCCTCAAACACATGAGCTGAGAACTAGGGGTCTGGGCCTTCCACTTCTCCCTCCCGGGAAGGGGGGAGCTACACAGACAAGGGGAACTGCATAGATAAGCGGTGCGGCATATGTGACGTCATGCTCATTTGCTCGTTTTTCAATTGGGGAGTTCTGTCCACTCAGTGTTCAGTAGTAGTTTTAACCAGAATAAGGGTTTGTTTTGAGGCGCTTACCTTTCTGGGTGCCCGGCCTGGTCGATGGCAGACATAGAATGCTCCAAATCACATGTGCACTTCTATAGGCCATTGCTCCTCATGCCTCTCTGAAGGGACCAGGTTCTGGCTCACGGTCCCTGGTAAGCCTAGAACTCCATTCACACTGACTGATGCCAAAGTCTAATAATATACATATCAGCCTGGATAGCTCCGGGGAGCTGAAGGGGCTCTCCCCAGAAAAAGGGAATGATAGTACACCTCCATTCCAAAAAGGGAAGTAACAGTGACAAGGACATAATGGGTTGTAAATATTACTTGGATATGGAGATGAATAAAGGTGCTGCAAGAGCTCAGTACAGTAATTCAAATTTAAGTAACTCAAATGACCCAAGTTTTGTACATCATTTTTTAGTAAATGGTAGGGAGTAACTGAGTAAATTACAGGAATAACCGGGTAAAATGCAGGAGTAACCAGGTAAGCGCCAGAAGTACTGTAATCGGGTAAACAGCAGAAGTAACCTGGTAAAAACTCTTCATTTTTGGACAGTTCTGCTAAAATATTTGGGTAACTTGTATCTTGAGGTTATCTTGAGATGATTTCGGGGCTTTAGTGTCCCCGCGGCCCGGTCCTCGACCAGGCCTCCACCCCCAGGAAGCAGCCCGTGACAGCTGACTATCACCCAGGTACCTATTTTGCTGCTAGGTAACAGGGGCATAGGGTGAAAGAAACTCTGCCCATTGTTTCTTGCCGGCGCCTGGGATCGAACCCGGGACCACAGGATCACAAGTCCAGCGTGCTGTCCGCTCGGCCGACCGGCTCCCTAGGGGGTGCACCTCACATTATTCAGATTACCAAGCAAGACAGTATTTGTATTTGCTGGGCATATGGGCCAATGACTTAAAGCAATATTAAATTACTGTACAGTACTATATTTATGTTGGTGGTATAGAGGCAAATGGAAATTGGAGAGAGAAAATACTCACGGGAATGACAAAGGTGTGCAACAGATGCAAAGGAAGATGGTGGGTGTACAACGCCTGGTGGGTGATGACCAAGAGCAGTGACTGGCGGGCTGTTTACTGTTTGACCAATACCCTTAGCTTGTTGGTCCCACAGCTGTGATGATCGGCCCGGGCTCACAACTGGCTCACCCATCAGCCTAGTCCTGGAGCAAATACTTACATGAGTGCTGCATACTCTATGACAAATGTCATGTACAAATTCTTGTAACATACAGTCAAAGCAGGAATAAGAATGTAAATACATGCACAGGTTACCTGTACCTATAGTTTTTTATATAAGTGTGTGCAGAAACAGACAACATCTGACTCCTGTTTACAGACTTAGGAGCTTTCCCTTCCTGTTCCAAGAGCCCAGATCATGGTCAGCCTTATTCACTAATTTTCCCTGGAGCATGATCCCTCAATTGGTTTACAACCAGTACCATATTACTGGGCAAACAAAGGTGAACAATTAGGAACTGGCGCCTAGTCAATATTACCATACAAGAGTACTCAAGCCTGACCTACCTGTTGATGATTCCGAGGATCAACACCCCTGCAGCCTGGTCTCTGACCATGCCTCCTGGTTGCTGGTCTAATCAACCAGGTTGTTTGATGTGGCAATTTGCAGCCTGATGTACAAGTCACAGCCTGGTTGATCAGGTATCCTTTGAAGGTGCTTGTTAAGTTCTCTTTTGAACACTGCAAGAGGTCAGTAAGTTATGCCCTGTATGTGTAGAGTAAGTGTTGAAAAGGTGCCCCTTGATGTTGATCAAGTTCTCTCTCAGCATACCTATCGCACCTTTGCTTTTCAAAAGGGCTATTTTGCACATCCTGCCATGCCTTCTGGTCTCATGTGATGTTACTTCTGTGTATGAATATGGAACCATTAAGTGTACATTATTATGTATCTCTCCTGCCTGTGCTCTAGGGAATACAAATTAAATTTTTTTAGATGGTGCCTTCAGACGTTTTATATTGAGTGGATTTTAGTGATAAAATGATCTTTGCACACTCTCCAGGTCAGCAACTACTCCAGCTTTGAATGGGACTGTTAGTGTGCCATAATATTCCAATCTAGAGAGCACTAATGTCTTAAATATCTCATCACTGCGAGGGCATCTTTTGTTTAGAACGTCCTTTTTATCCAACCCATTATTTTTCTTGCAGTCATAACAGCAACTATGTTGTGCTCTTTAAAAGTAAGGTCTTCCAACATGATTACTCCTAAATATTTTACATTGCCTTTTCTTTCAATAGCGTGGTTTGTTTGTGTTTTATTTGTGGTTTTTGCTTTGATGTATTAGTTTTTTCCATAATGCAGTAACTGGAACCTATCCTCATTAAACATATTATTCTGTGCGGTCCATCGAAAGATTTGATTAACATCGGACTGGAGATTTGCTGTCCTTTACATTGTCTATGCTCATGAAAATTCTAATGTCATCTGTAAAGTATATGATTCAGTATTATACAGTATTTTGTATTCATGACTATCTATTAATGTCCATGTCCAATGTCCATGTCGTCTATCAATGATATAGATGAGAATATTGCAAACCACATCATCAAATTTGCAGATACCACTAAGAAATATGGTAAAGTGGGAAGTGAAAATGATACTGAAGCCTAACAAAGAGATCTCCATGAACTCCACAAATGATCAGAAGACTGGCAAATTCTTTTTAATGTCGAAAAATGCAAAACCTTGCAGCAGACTGATGATGAAAACAGCAGTTGTACAACAAGTAGCAGCAGCAGTATAAAAAAAAAAAAAGAGTTGACTGTATTGAAACGCCATTTTCTGGGCAAGCCCCGGAGGCTCCGTGGAGCTATCGGGCTAATGTGTGATATATTAGATGGGGGCATTAGTCTAAGGAGTTCGACCTACCAGAGACCACGAGCCAGAATCTGGCCCCCCTTAGAGAGAGGTTGCAGGGAGCAATGGCCCTGGAAAACCTCCGTGGTTGGGGGTTTTCCTTATCTGCCATCGACCGGGGTTAGGCACCCAGAAAGGTAGGCATAACAAAACAAACCCCACATGGTAAGATAATTATAACTAAAAACCGAAAAGAGTGGTAGAACTCCCTCCAATCCCAATGAAACAAGCAAACGTCACACTCCACTGCCACGCCACTCGTACGTGCAGCCCTCTCCTTCCCGAGAGGGAGGAAGGTGGGAGGAGCCCCGGATCTCCCCGCGCTGGCTACCCAGCACTCCAGTTCGGAAGCCAAGCATCAAACAACATGAAAAACCGCCGACCAGACGAAGGGAGGGAGGGTTGCCAGGGAGTCTCTGGGGCTCACCCAGAAAATGGTGTTTCATTACATTCAACGCTGGTTTTCTGTGGGGAGCCCCTTCAGCTCCCTGGAGCTATATAACCAAAGATAAAGAAAAGAGGGACTTATCTGAGAGGCGGCCGCCACCCAGGCTGCAACTCCTCAAAGCGAAGTCGAGACAACTGGCTGCAACCTGCGACCCAGAGCAACACAGGAACACCCAGAAGCAGGAACATTAACCAAATATTGGGCAGCCAGGACTCTGTTCGACCTCCAAAATCCCCATGCCCAATTATCAGCCCAGGAAATGTTGCCAAACACAGCAGCCAATGCAGCAGACTTTCCAACGTCATGGGCACAAGGATAGACCACAGGCTGGCTAGACTTATTAACCCTGCAGACGACCTGGGAGACCCGAGCCCTGTAACAAGAAACAAGGGATGCCGGATCAACCCAAAGCGCATCCCTAGCCACCAAAGCAGAAGTGGACAGATAACGGTGGAGAGCAGCAATCAGTCACATGATGCACCCCCGGCCTGACCAACCAAGCATCTAAGTGTAGATCGAATCTACATCTAAGTGTAGATCGAGCTTGCCGACAAGACAACCCAATCCGAAATAGAAGACAACCTATAAAGAGAGAGAAAATGGCGAAAAGAACACCAGGAAACTTAATACTGTCGCCGAGATGAAGCTCTTAGGTAGGACACCATCAACGAAGCCACCTGATCACCATGCTAGTGGCGATAAACCCGTGTCAAAAAGACGAGACGTGAAGAGCAGAGGTGAAGACCGAACCAGCCGTGTACCGGACTGGTCCGACCAGCTGGAAGAGGTGGAGCCGCGAGAAATGTCCCGGGTTCGCACACCGAGCAAACAGCACCTGGAACCAAGGCTGGGCCGGCCACCAAGGGCCAGCCTACTACCAAGTACTATTTTCCCTGGGTAGGATTCTAACTGAGCCACAACCCGAAGTAACAGCTGGACTGGGGAAAAGAGGTACAGGTAACCCCACCTCGACCAGTTCTGCCAAAAGACGTCCACCGTGACAGCCTCACAGTCGGGGAAGGGCGCCACATGGATTGGGAGACACCGAGATTACGCCAACGTGAAGAGGTCCACGTTCGGAGGTCCGTACGTCTGGCAGAGCCAACGGAAGGAGTCAGCATTGACCGTCCATTCCATGGACAGGGGAATGAACCGAGACAGGCCATCCGCCAGGACGTTGGATATTCCTCGGATATGAACCGCACAGAGAGCCAAACCCTGAGAAGCCAGCAGACAAGCTACTCGAAGCGACCAGCTCCACAGAGGCAAGGACCGAAGAGAACCCCCATGGTTCAGGCAATGAACCACTGGAGAGCAGTCCAAATGGAGTCGGATGGTCGAACCCTGAGTGACCCAAACCCTCTGAAGCAAAAGCAAAACTGCCACGAACTTCTGCATAATGTTGTAAGCCTAACGGAAGGATGGACCCCTTTGCCCCTGGGCGGCCTGATGAGCACTGGTCACAAAGCCCCAGCCAAGAGGCGTTGCATCCATAAATACATCAGGCGAGGGTTCTGATAGGTTATCTTGAGATGATTTCGTGGCTTTTAAGCTGAAGCCAAACCTGACCCAGCGGGTAGATCAGCACGGCGAAGTTCAAACTCCTGCACAACTGCTTAAACAACCGCTGCATGGCCCAGGACCCCCGAACCTGGGATGGAACCAGATGGGACTTCCTCCAGTTCACCAGGAACCCAAACCCAGTGAGCAGGGAAAGAACCTCAACCCTGGCGAGCATACAAGCAGACCAGCTGGGAGCCCACACCAGCCAGTCATCGAGGTAGGCCAGAACCCAAACCTCTAGCAGACACAGACGAGTCACCACGGCTCGAGTAAGACACGTTAATACGTGAGGTGCCAAATTCAAGCCAAAAGGAAGGCAATGAAAGAGGTAAGCCTGATGCCTCACCACGAAACCTAACCAGTCCCTGAACCCTGGATGAATAGGAATATGCCAATCCGCGTGTTTGAGGTCCAGGGACATCATCAAGGCACCCGGCTCCAAAAGAAGCCGGACCTGAGACAGAGTGGTCATCCGAAAGGAGGAGCAAGGAATCCAAGGGTTCAGACAGGACAAGTTCAGAATGAACCGCAGATCTGCACAGTCCCGTTTCGGCACTGGAAACAGGTGGGAAACCCACCTAAGGGACCACTCGTAGGACCAAGCACGAGCAAACAGAGTGAGCCTCACTCTTATTGCCCCGTGACCGCGAATAGCGAATGCCTTATAGAGAACCGCAAAAGGGCTGACACCCCTTACGAGAAGCTGACTGCCAAACAGAGTGATCAACGCACAGAGCAGATGACGCCGGCTCCAAAGGCAACATCGGCTCAGAAGCTGGCATCAATGGCCCACCTCGACCATCGACCAGCAGAACTCCGAGCCCCGGCACGAGAGTCCTTCTGAGAAGGCCGAGAACGGCCGTCCTGGAGAACCAACAAGTCTGACATAGGACGACAACTAGACAAAGCCACCTGCAGAAACTTCGTGACAGCAGCCTCTGCAAACAGCAATGGACAAAACGGAAACGAAACCCTAAGAGGCAGGGCCCAAGTGGATTGCAAAAAGTGAGAGCACAGCCTGGCAGTATGCGAAGCGAAAAGCAAGGAACAAAGACACCGCCTCCTTCAGGATAGGAGCAAACAGCTTTAACACTGCAACCAATGCCCGAACCGCTGAGGACAGCGCACCAGATGAAGGCCCAACACTCAATACCTCCACATCCTCCTCAAGCCAGGCAGAAGACAGCTCAAGAAGGGAAAAGAAGCGCAAGAAGGAAGTCAAATACCCACTGGGGGGGGGGGGGGGCACAAATCCTCCGCAACCAAGGATGCCAAAAGGGTAGAAACCTGCATGTGCAGCTGCACAAGGCCAACATCCCGAGAAACTACAGGGGCGAACAAGCACGCATTAAGGTCCTCAAACTCACCCCCCTAGGTAAACCTGCAGAACGGTAGATGCTTCTCGCCACTTAACGACAGAACCCATGCCATGCCCCAACAAAAATTAAGGGCAGTCTGCTAGCCAGGAAGATTCTAGAACCTCCAAACGCACCCAATATGGGGAAGAACCGAACTTAAATAAGAACTGATCCATAAGAGAGGCGGAATCCGGGTCTTGCAGGAGATATGCAGCAAGAGCCTCCTAAACCGCCCACTGGGAGGTACGAGAGGTAGAAAACCTCTGGAAGGACGGGGCCGAGAAACCCACGGGAGCCTGGAACCGAACCCGGGGAGGAACCAAACCTGGGGAGGAGCCGAACTCAAATCAAATTCACACAGGGAAGGGGGGGTAAGAAAACCCCTCCCCCTGCAGCAACAAGTCCCACGAAGAGGGTACTAACACTCAAGCGGGGTCAAAGGAGGCCCAAGGCCCCCAGGTTGACTCCTCCCTAGCCTCTGGATCCCCCATGTTAGGACCTGGGGCATAGCAGTCCTACATACCCTCTACCCCTGAAAAAAAAGGCAGAGTCCAGTGGAAAGGCTGAAAGAAGGGGGGGCCTGATGGTGGGAGTCAAAAGCTTCAGCAGGAGGAACTGGC